TTCGAAGAAAATGTATGAATCATGATGAATCATTCGTATGTAATTTTAATTTATATAACTTTATTATTATATCANTATCTTATCCATGATGAATCATTCGTATGTAATTTTAATTTATATAACTTTATTATTATATCAATAATTACACAATTGTTAGTTAAAAAAACTAGTAAAAAAAAATTACAGACACTTATTTCATATATATTATTTATTCTAAATATAATCAAAACGTTAAAAAATATTGGCTATTACTAATTTAAACTTTTTACATATCAAATAGTAAATTCAAATTTCAAAGTTATTTTTCTCTACTTAAAAAAAGCATAACAATTTTAATAACTTTCAAAAATTGAATTGAAAATGACCTAGTTTCAATACTCATGTTTAAAGTTTTGACCCCCTTTGTATAAAGTGGTATGAGCCGATTTACAAAAAAAGTGTGTCAGATGAAAGGGGTATATAAAAATTATTTATAAAAAAATAATAATATTGATCCATACATTTTTTTAAAAGTTATAGCAATATAAATTTAAAAATATAAAATCGGGAATTTTTTCACGTAAACCATACGTTTTTCTTTAACTTTGATGTCCGTTTTTACCACGAAGACAGGTCCAGAAGTCAATTTTTTTTTCAAAAAAATGTATATTACATAAGATTTAATTTAAGATATATATAAAAGTGTCAGACTTTTCGGAACATTTTCAAAAGTTAAGTTAATTTTTTGTGAAAAAGTTACCATTTTGAAACCCTTCCTGTGGGCTGGCAAAGGGTCAAATGTTCTCGAAAATATATAAAATGATAGGTTAATACCTAAGGTATCTATAAAAAAAAATTATATTGATTCGGTCATTTTTAAAAAAGTTATGGCAATTTTAAGGAAAAATGTCAAAAATTAGGGATTTTTAAATTTGTAATTTTTATAGGGATTTCCTCCGTTTACGTGGAACGAAGAAATTTTTATCAATTTTTGAGAATAGTGTCTTCGACTAGATATGATTTGTGATCTTTGCCGTATTGTTCATCAAAATCCGTCAGCGAGAGCTGAGATTCAGTGTTTACAGACACAAAAAAAAACACGTCATAGTAAAATTATTACCTTCACAGCTTCTCATCGAAGCTAAAAGTTTATATAATTTAAAATTAATTTTTTACCTAAAATCGTTTAAAATCTTCTTTTATTGGTCCACCTAACCCAACCCAACTGAATAGGAAGAAGATATTAATGACAACAAAAATTTTCTTTATTCGTTTTATATACTTTAGTATTGGTTGTACTGGTTTACCTTTAAAACTAGTTTTTAAAAAAAAATTAACTAATTAAATTGAAAATATAAAAAGATTAACTTTTTAACTAGTTAATTCCCACCATTAGTTATTCAACTAGTAACCATTTAGCAATTAAATTAAATTTTAAAAAGCAACTAAATTTTACGATATAACTATAGCTAGTGCTATACGTTCAATTAATGCTATTGAATATTTAAGGCTTTCAAACAAAATTATCCAACACATTAATAAAACACAAAACAAAAATCTATTTAAAAAATTTTACTTTTTTATTTGACTATTTTTGATTGGCTGTTTCGTTACAATATCCCTAAAAAAATTATTTCTAAGGGTAGGGTATGTTCGAACATTTATTGGGGACTATTTTTTTTTAATTTAATATTAAACGGGTATTGCATTAAATAAAACGTGTCTAGTCTATAATTAGTTTTCAGATATTAGCATTTAAAGATTTAGAAAAAGTGAGAAAGGGCGAGTATTTTACTATAACACAGAGAAGAAATCTTCTATAAGCTTACCCATTTTAACTATTAGTAAAAATTATACTAACCTAAAAGTAATTTTAAAAAGTTAGCTATCGAAACTCTGGATAGTAATTTCCAAACAACAACTAAACCTATCTAATCTTATGAATAAGACTATAAAAAAACTGATATTCACCATTGGATCAATCGTTATTATTCATAATAAACGCATGATAATGATCGCATTGTACGATAAGAAAAGCTAAATTATATGTATTTATGAAGACAATTAAAGTCAATAATTGATTTACATACACATTTTAATACGTGCGATACTTGCTAAACGCTGTAACAAATTTTGAATGTCAGTAATTATAGAAGCATAAAAAAATCTTACGTAAAAAAAACCTTATTTTATATCGAATAATACAAGTCTTAAAGTTCTATAAGCAAATTTACTTTTAAAATGTATTAATTAAAGCATTCATGATTGAATGCTTTGACATTTAAGAAACTTGGTCAGTTTATAAGCAAAAGGATTTTCTTTAAGAAACTAATAAGAAGCAAAAAATATATAAATCGAACAATTTTTTTCAAATATTGACAGTTTGTAGGCACAATCAGACTATTTATAACAAATTATAATTTTTTTTAGAGAATTAACAGCAATTACCAAATAATTTTGAATAGGGCAAAATATAGCGATGTTACTTCATTTTTGTTTTAGTATTGATACTTTTTATAAAAGAACTTAAAATGTATTAAAAAAATGATCTGCCTTGATAATTGTGTTTTATATTTTTCGATTGTTCTGTTTAACCCTTTCAGTCTTGACACCAGAAAAAATGAATATAATCCATTTTGTTTTTCACAGGCTATTTAATTATGAAGCAAATAAGTACTAAAAAAATTTTTTTTTTTTTTTGAAACCCTATTCCCCCTTTTTTGACCGAGACTTATTTGTCCCGTTTACATTTTTATTTGAAATACTTATTGCCAGTAGTCTCAGATGTCCCGACCGGACGGTTGATACAATAATAGTAACCATTTACTTTATAAAAGCAATTTTCGAGACGGGACTCAGACGTCCCGCCCGTCCTGAAAGGGTTAAGAAACATTTGAAAATACAATACAATATAATTGTCTATTATATTTAAAATCAGAATTAGTCATAATTTTTAGAGGCTTATGTTATTAGATATTCAAATTCAAAAGTCGTTATGGACTCATAAAAAATAATATTTTTAAAATCACAAATTTAATGTTTTAAAATTAATTATGATGATCATTGCAAATAATGCTTAACATAATATTTTTTGTACTAGAAAGTTTGCTCCAAATTTTTATTCCCTTTAAACATAAAAACTATATTTTCCTTATAATTTATAACTTTTTATTTATGGATTACGAAAAAAATTACTTTAAAAGTATTACAAAAGAAAATTGGTCTAGAAAATTTTAAACTGGTAAATTTTTTAACAATTATTTTCATCACTGAAGTTTAATACATTCTTAAAGAGTTACAGTGGAAAAAGCAAAATTCGTTGTCTACACGCAATGTCAATGTAGACAATCTAGAAGCATTTTCGTGTTAACGGACAGTGTATCATAATAAAAAGGTTAATTGTAGAGTTTTGTACTACATGTACATATACATTTTTACACAACACTATATCTTATTCGGTTCAATTAAATAGCATACAATGTCAATTTTTAGTGCACTAAGAGCTTTATTTAAAATATAAAATTTATTCACCTATTAAAATATTATTATGATCCTTAGTTAAATTAGTTAATAAAGGATATTTTTAGAGAATTTTATCAATGAAATATTTCATATTTTTTAATTATTTAGGAGAATATTTGAACTTTTTTGTACGTTATTACTTTAGTATTAGTAACAGAACTAGAATTAATAAAATTAAAAAATATATAATAATATTGAACTGTAAATAACAAATTCAGACTTAAAAGTATATCAAGAAATATTGTGACGCACTGTAGTTATTGCTAATTTGAAATATAATATGTAAGTTGATAAGTTATAAAACTGATCAAACCATTTATACTTGAATAACCAACATTAAAAATTTAATAAATTTATGCAATTATGTTAATAATATTATTTAAAATATTTAACTCAAAAAGCCACAAAAATATAAAAAAAATTGCATATATTTACTTAAGGAACAAAGTACATTATTCAGTTGTAAACACATACTGAAACCTTGACAAAAAATAATTTCTTTAGTACCCTTTGTGACCTCATCGCCTATTTACCTTATCACTAGTGATGTTTTACTTAGTGTTGATATCGCCAGGTGATTGATACATTTTACCAGCTTACACATGTTTAATAACTATCTATAGGTGATAAGTAATTTTGCAGTGGGTTTAGATTCCAATTAATTAAATTATTCTTATTTTATATAATTTCTATTACTTTCTTTATATTAAGTTCTTTGTAATTATTTACATTTTTAATTAGTTTTATGATTTTAATGGAGTAATTGTATGTCAATAAATGTTTAGCCATACGTGATTTATCCTTTTTTCGATTTTCAACTGTTCTATAGTGTTTTTTTTTTACCTGACCCCTATATTATTTTTGTTAGTTCTACGTTTTTACCCATACTTTTACTTTATTTATAAGGTTAACCAATAAATCTCTAAAATTACTGTTCTTAGATGTTACTAAAGCAATATCAAAATTCTTGAAAATTGTAGCTAGATCATTTGAAATACCCGAATAATATAAAATAATAACTTTTTGTTTCTCTACGCTAGTGAGTGTATTGGTTGTGATCCTTTCATTATTCGACTCTTGTGTTCGAAATAATTTTGAAATTTAATTTTCGGCATACCCAATTAATCCAGTTATTTCTTTTAAAAACCGCCAGATCTTTATCAAAATTTACTATATTCAGAATATTAACTTACCTATAAATTATACTACCAAGCTTTTTATACCATTTTGTGTTGCCAAAATTCAAAATTTAGTCAAAATATTGAATTTAATATTTAATATTTTAAATATGTCAATTTCAAATAATATTATATACAAGTGATCAAATTTAACTTTTAATTTTAAAATAAAGTGGAAAAAGAATTTATTCTAATTTTTATTAGTTTATTAATAGATATCTCATAGAATTAAAAATATGTACTCAATTTTATAATTATTATTATTTGTTAATTGTTATTTTTCTTTAAAGTTTTATTTTTAAAAATGATGTATTTTTATAGGGTACGTGTGGAGTATTACGTAAATGAGAATACATTCAAAGAACGCTTACAAATATATTTTATAAAGAATCAACGCTCAAGTGAGTAATCAACTGACTTATTATTATATGATATTCATATAGTATCCATTAATAAAGGATCATTTTATTTCTTATAAAATAGTTCAAAGAGGATATGTTTGTATCGGATGAGAGAAATGTAAATTCTATAGTAATTACATTACTCTCCGAGTTTTGCTTATAAACCTTATAAAGACAAATTTAAAAAAAAATTTCAACTTTTTTTTTTTATTATTTATTAAATTATTTTTGTGTAATTATTAGTCTACAAATAGTATTTTTATTTTGTTATCTCTCCAATAAAATGTTGTAAATTAATTTTAATTATTAATACTGCAGTGCTAATAATTTATTTTACTATTCTATAAGCAGATAAATATTTTTTTAATATTCTTAAAATATTCATTACATAGTATTAATTAAAGCAAGCAACATAAATAGAGCAGTAAAAAGGATATTTCTAAAATAATCAAATATTATATATTAATAATAATCACAATATTTTTAATTCAAATTTTAAAGACTGTGTTTAGAATATTTCTAACTGAAAACTAGTTTTTCGTAAACGTATTATATCATATACACATGAATAAAATTTTATAGAAACATTTGGTAAAAAAATGTGTATATATAATAATAATAAAAATTTTTCGGCATTAAAATATTTAAATCGGTACACCGATATTTCAATAATTCAAAATATTTATAATCATGTATAACAATTATATATTTAATATAATTCACATTTAATTTTAATAAATATAAATAGACATGATATCTACCAAAAATAGCTAGTTTACTGGAAAAAAAATACGTTTTAAACATTTTATTAAGGAATATAAATATTTCTGTAAATATAACTGTAGTTATTATTGATATCACAATTGGTAGACTATTATAAAAATATGTATTATACATTTTGAAATAAAATAGAAAAAAAAAATCATGCATTAAAAAAAAAATTTTAAAGTAAAGTTGAAAAAATATTTGTATAATTAAATTAACATATTTTATATGGATGTTAAAAAGATGAATTTTTTCGAGTTTGTGTTAGTTAAATAAGTCCAAATATAATAAGATCTACTAAATATTATAAATTTATAATATACATAATTCATATAAGAAAATGGTCATTATAATTTAAGTTACTGATAAATAAAAAAGTGGACCAGTGATATGTCTAAAATAATAACTATAATTATAGTTATAGTTATTATAATTTAACATTAATATTAAATATTTCACCCTTGAATGCATGAATTAAATAATTGATCATAACAAAAATAATGCTTAGAACGATTCCAATAGTGATTCTTTATTATACATGATATTTAAATTATTTAAATAACTTATGTGAACATTCATACATGTGCTTTCAATTAGTTAAGATTTTTTTTAATAAACTGATTTATTTTTAATTTCAATGGTTGAGATAATAATTTTCTTTCATTTCAGGTCTTCGTATTCGAATCGTAAATTTATTTTTCAAATTATTAACATGTGTTTTATACATCATTCGAGTGGTACTCGATCAAGATCCCACTTTTGCGACGTGGTAAGCATTTTTTTTATTTTGGTTTAAAAAAAGGATTGGTAAGAATAATCATGTTTTGACCATAAAACGTTTTCTTTAATATGTCATAAGCATAATAAAATAGTTATGCATAATTTTACAATGGTGTATGAACAATATATTTTTCCTTTTTGGTTTTTTTTTTACTGAATCGTCGAATAAAATAAATAACATTAAATGTCTCGGTTGTTTGGTGTATCTTAAGCAGAATTTAATATATATTCAAATTTCGATGTTTCACAACTGATTGATTTAAAGTGCTACATTGTAATAATAGTTTCTATTACAAATAATGAATATCTGGTAACTACTTTTTTTAAATTCTAAATTTATTTAAAAATAAAATAAAATATTTGTTTTGCACATTTTATACAAAAATTTAATAAGCACTTTAGTTTAATAAATTAATTTTGCGAAAATAGGATTTTTAATACTTTTTTTTTTTACAAAATTTTATTTGAAAAATATTAATTTGTTAATAAATAAGCCTCAAATTAAAAATAATAAGCAGTTAAACATTTTTAAATCAAATACATACTGTAAATATTGATGAAATTAATCATTGACAATAAACTCATGTTAATTAACACGTACATTCAATTATGATTCCAATATAAAATGTTTGTACCATTGATAGTATACACTGAATTGTATCATAACAGTGCAACTAGTCTAAATTGTTTATAAACACATAACTAATTAATTATAGACACAAATACCTATTAAATTTGCATAACTGTAGCGCCGTCTAATATAATGTTTTTAACCGATGTCTTATACTTACTGAATTCTTTAAAATGATTTATTGTTAATTCTAAAAGTTAGAATTGCTTTTTCTTTCTTTAATTTTAGCTTTGATATGAAGCTGAGAAGGTATTAATTTAACTATAATGTGTTTTTTATTACATATAAGAGGCCTTAATTTATAATTAATTATTTACCCACTAGAAAAACTTAGGTAACAAATTTCGTAAAAATTTGAGAATTCATAAAAAAAATATTAGAACTAAACTCATTTGTATTTTATATAGTGATTTATTAAGTTTACTACTAATTTTTTATTAAATAATGATTTTTTCATAAAAATGTATAGATTAAAATTTTATCTATTTTTATAAATCATAGTAAATATTAAATTTATCATAAGAAAACATTATTTATAATGGTATATATATAGTGATGAATTTCGAAAATTTAATGGAAACCTATTATTATATTTTTACAATTAAGTAAAAAATGATAAAAATAGAATTTTGACTAATCGATAATATTTCAATAAGTAATAACAGTTTTGTATTATTACTTATTGAGATATTAGCATTTTTAGAGTATATCTGTTGGAATGAGGGACTGGGAGTTTTAATTAATGAATAAGAAGTATGGGAAACTATGGCATCAATGAACAAAGCAGTAGGACCAGATGAAGTGCTAGCAGAAGTATGAAAAATATTGGGTGGTGTGTGGTGAAAGGTGGTTAAAGTATCTTTTTAATAAAATCCTATTAGTACCGAAAATGTCAAAAGAATATAGGAATAGTATTGTGATACCAATATTTAAAAAAAATGATATATACAAGAGTATGGAAGTTATAATAGCATAAAGCTTATGAGTCATAGTATGAAGATTTGGGAAAAAGTAGTAGACAAAAGAATAAGAGAAGAAAGATCAATAACAAAGAACAGGTTTGATTTTTTGCCTAAAAAGTCAACGATGAAGGCAGTTTTTTGTGTGAGACAACTAATAGAAAAGAAGTATCTGTGAATGATATTAGTATATACTGAGGTTTTAAAATGGGCATTAATGAGAAAAAGAGTACCAAAAAGGTACACTAATATAACAGAGAATATGTATGATGGCACTTGTACTAGGGTAAAATGTGTGAGTGGAGTAATAGAAGATTTTAAGGTAAAAAGTTGGAGTGCACTAAAATTCTATTTTAAGCCCTAATTTATTTTTTATAATGATGTATGATTTACTAGAGAAATATAAGAAGATGTACCGTGGTGCATGTTATTCGTTGGCGATATAGTGTTAGTAGAAGGGAAAAAAGAGATAAAAATAGAATTTCAATGAAGCTGAAAGGTAAGTTTTATTAAACTGTAGTGAGACTAGCTATGATGTACGGTTCAGAGTTTTGAGCGGTTTACAAGAAAATAGAGCAGAGAATGAGTGTAGCAAAGATGAGAATGTTTAGATGGATGAGTGGAGTGCCTAGAGAAGATAGAATAAGGAAAGAACATATAAGAAGTAGTATAGGTATGGCGTCGTTCGTGGATAAGATGAGAGACTTTAGACTTAGATGGTTTGGTTATGTTATGAGGAAAAAGAAATCAGAAGCTGGTAGAACAGTTATGAAAATGTATGTTAAAGGAAAAAGAAGTAGAAGAATGCCACAAAAGAAATAGAGGGATGTTAAAGAATGATCACGGCTGATGTATGCGTAGATGATGTGAGAGATCGTGTTAAGTGGAAGTTTAGGATAAGGGTGGCCGACCCTAAGTAGTTGAGATAAAGGAGAGGAAAAAAAAGAAGATAGAAGATATTAGCATTTGAAGATTTAGAAAATATGAAGAGTTGGATAGTGTTTAGCTACGCTCTATTTTTATCATAACACACAGAAATTTATTATTCTACGCTGCTGTTATTCATTGTGCTCACTTATAACTAAAAGTTATAATAGTTCAAAAAGTAATAATACAATACTTGTTATTAACTAGTTAAAATTTTATTTAAAACATTCTCCATTTAATAATAAGAAAATATGACAAACTCCCATTTAACTTTCGAAAGTTATCCTTGAAATCTACCCTTGTAATTAATTTTTCTTACAATATACATGATATTTATAATGATTTAAAAATTATATTAAATATATTCTATTAATTTTAATGAAGAAATTATTGATTAACGAAAACAGGAAGGGGAATAATGTTTTAATTTCTTCTTGTAATTTATTTTTATTTTTAATTATTGAGTTATAATTTTATGATTCATACTTTTAAATATATTAGTTGTATATAAATCTACATTTGCTTAAATATATAGATGTTTCAACTAGTAATGCATATCTTAATGGCATAAATCAGAAATTTTTGAATAAATTTAGTGTTTGAATATTATTTAAGGCCATCACACTCGAAACAATATTACAAGAGTAAAAATTCTTTTAAAAATCAATTTTTTATTGCTAATCATAAATCAATTATTAGTCATACAATCATAGTTCATTTAGTTGTATACGAATTATTGTTAAATTTATATTGGTAAGAAAACTTACAAATATGATTATTTTTTCAAGATAACAAAAATACATTAAAGTAATAAATAAATTAATTTCATTTCAAATAAATTTTAATTTGCAGTATTTGAGCATATAATTTCATATTTGATGTATTTAAATACAAATAATTCGCAAAATTATTGATATGTAAAAAAGAATCAGAATCATGAAAATGTTTATTTTTATACATGCTTATTATTTTTTTAAGTCTTAAAATAACTAGCTTTGGTCACAATAATAAAAAGTAACAACTGATATTTTTATTAGGTTTAAAAAGAAAGTGATCCCCAGAGAAATTAAATTTAATTTTAGTTAGTTTTATCGTTGGGATTCACTTAGCATGAATTTTTTGTATATTTTAGCGAGAACAAAAAAAATATGCAAGCGTGGAAAAAGTTCATGATATGATTATGAATGCATTAGAGAGGAAAATAATAAGGTTGATTTATAAAATCCTTTGTTATGTCTATTTATTTTTTGTAGTGCGTTTATGATTTAAGATAAAAAAAATCTTCCAAACAAATTACTATCATGCTATTATTTTAGTTAAATTTTATGTTGTTCAAAAGTTTTCCGATTGAGCGATATTATAATTTTATTATGTTTTTACTTTTGAAGGAAACAAAATAGGATTAAAATTTATTATCAGTGATGACACTAGATATTGTGTGGTCCTTTTTATATTCTATAAGTCAAAAAAAGTTTTTTTTTGCATTTCATTTACACTTGTGAGACCCTTTTAAATACAGGGTCGCAGGTATTATTTATTTAAATTTTTTTATTGTATTAACCAGGGTGATTGGAATCATATTTAAATAATAGGAACTTTATTCATTCTTTTTATTTATTAAATTACTTGTAATCATTATTTGAACTACTAGATTTTTTAGTCTTGGTTTAAAATTAATTTCCTTTGTTGTGACGATTTAACAGTTATGGATGTTCAGTGGGAAACAAGACCGAATTCCTGTTGAGTCGAAATTTAACAGACGAAGCTTTTCAAGCCAGACCTATTATCAATTGGGATGCAATTCAATGGATAAAAAGACCCTTCGAATTATGGATACTGGAATGCGGATTGGCGGTTTTTGCCCTTTGTGAGTCACTGCTACTTACATACATCGGTTATAAGGTAAATAAATAGATATTTCTTCAACAATAGATAAATAAAATAATACAGTTACTTTTAAACATATAATGATGTACTATAGAATTTAATAATGCTTGAAATAAAAAATCGAAAGGGGGACGATCATATAACTTATACGTATAACAAAAACATAAAATAATTTTTTATCATTTTACTTTACATTATAATAAATTTTATGTAGTATTTCTAATTATTTAAATTTTGATATTTTCAATATGTCCATATTTTTTTTGAAAAATTTCGATTTAATTACTACCATTAATTGACTTGTAGCTGGTTTAGTTTTTATGTAATATAAATTAAAATATAAAAATTATCAATGGATAAACTTTTACAGCTTTAATGATTTACAGCTTTCAGATTTTCTGTAAAGACATGATCAAGTAAAAAATTGCCATTTTAGGTTATATTTCAATTATTTCAGAAATTTTACAATGCGTTTAACAATAACAATATTTTTTCATAGATAATTAAATTATATTTTCTAGTAATTTGAATTAGAAAAGTCCTATTAATTACTATATAAAAATACTAGGCTCTACCTAGCTGGAACTCCTCCGTAGACTCGGTGTACTGTAGACCTTACATGCCTACGGCGCGTCAAGATTAATATCCATCAATAACAATCTTTAAATACAGTGTTATTAGTAAAAAAAAACACAAACTAACATGAAATTTAAATAAATGTTGAATTTGAAAACTTAAATCATATTCTACTAAAAACTTTGCGCATGGACTGAAAAAGAAGATTATAATTGTCATAAATTCACTGAATTCAAAAAAATTTTCAGGGTATCTTTGGAACGTCTCTATGTAGATTTGATGAAATTTTCAAATTTTAAATCAAACAATGCTTGCAGAAATGAGCGTTTTTGATAAAGTTTCTAAAGGCTCACGGTGTGTTAAAAAATATGTCTTATGTCGGCTAATTATTTTCCAAGAAAAATAAGTCCGATCTTTTTAATAGAAAAAAAAAATCTCCATGAATACTACAATTTTTTATGTAAATATTGTCAAAATCTAAATTGTATTTTATTTTGATACAATAGATATGAAAGCTAAATTTATTTCAGTTTTAACCTAGTATTTATGATCATTTTTTTAATCTTAGTGATGTTTTATCTAATAAATTATTGATAGAATTTTAAATTTTAACTAATAACGATTATAATTTTAATAAATAGTTATATTTCAATGATCATAGTTTTTCATGAAAGCTCGAGATACTGTTGTTAAGATAATATTATTATTTAACACAAGTTAAAATTAATTAATCAGTAATTAAAATTTATAAAAAAATTGGCTACTGCATAAAACGAATTTTACACTGTTATGGTGTCATATTTTCTGTTTTTGAGTAATCTGGATTACAATATTAATTAGTAAAAGTTTCATTATTTAGTTTTTTTGGTTATCGATCTTTAAAAGTGAACATTTTAATTGATATTTAACGTGAAGGATTTACAGGATTATATACTAAATATAGTATAGATTAAGTTGCTTAAAAACTCAATCCATTCTAGGTCTTATGTTAAAATTTCAAATAATAGTAAATTATATTTTAAATAAATATAATAATTATTTTTGTATAATTCTGAACAATATAAACTCTATTATTAGGTAATAGCGCAAATGTTAAAATGGTTTAATTAGCTCTATTTTAACTATAGCTAACGTTTTGCAGACATAGAAAGGTATTCATTGAAAAAGTGAATAATTCCCTGAGAAAACCCATAATTTGGCCCTCGGGAGCCATTTCTGATGCGTTAGTCCCATGGAAGTCATTGTCTTTTTTTTCACACTGTTAAGTTATTTAGTCTAGTAATCATATGACCGCTATTTTATATCATACCATGACTTAAGTGTAGGCTCAAGATAAATTTATATAAATGAAAAAAATATATAAATAATTCAAAATTTTCTAGTGGTATGATATACTATCTTACCACTAGGTTGTTTATAAAAGCTTAATTAATGTGTCATTCATCAGTGAGTAGGAACCAGTGTTATATTCTATTGTGATAGAATACAAAAAAAGACATAAAAATAAGTTTTACAACATTTTTATTTTAATTTTCAGAGAAAGCTGCTCAATCATTTTTAATCGAATAATTTATAGAGAATTAATGTTAAACAACTCTTTAAACTGAAAAAATTTATTTTTGATTGTTTTATGAATATATTACTTCAAAAAATTAATGAATTTTGTTATAAATGAATTTTGGAATTATCTATTTTAAAAATTTGACTACTGTGTTAATAAATAGTGTGTGTTAAAACACACACTATTTTTTTCAGCAAATTAAAGTAATTACAAATTTTTTGAAAATGAAATAAAATACTTAATATTACTCGTACGATTTTATTTTACAACTAAAACTAGTTTAAATAATTAAATACACTAAAAAAATGATAATAAATCATAAAAAATATGACACCCAATTATCCTTTAAAATTTATTTATTTTCCTAAATTATATTCAGTACCTTATCCTGTGTTTGCATTTTCTTTATTTAGTTTAATTATGTTCTTAGCCATAGCCATTAGAATAATAAGTTATTATATTATTTTTCCCAGTACAATAAGGTAAGACAGGTAAATTGACGAATAAGGAAAAATGACGCATTCAGTATTTCTCAAAATTAGATATATTCAGCAACACATCTTAATCAGCATTTACATCTCTGGTGGTAAACATCATTACTTACTAATATTGACAAACGTTCGTGTACGTATATTTTAGTTGTCGTAAGAAATTCATATTTGACGTATTTATGATATAATTTTTGAACATCAAAATTATATATATTAATATTCTTAAGAATGTTTTTGAACTTTCTCTCTTGAATATTTAGAAATTAAGTATTAATTATATAGATTTAAAAAAGATATATTTCTTTTAAAATGTTTTGGAAACAAAGTGTTACAATAATTTTCGTTATTTATTTTCGGAAAACCATATTTTGTCCCTTGAAGACGAAAGAAACAATTGAAAAATTCATAGTATTATACAACATACGGAAGAAGTTCTAATGTGAATTTAAAATTATAAATCCATTTCAGAATTTATAAAAAATCATCAAAGCTTAACTTCAACAATTTACTCAACCTTTCCTACAATTCTTTTTCGAGTTTTCATACTAATAATAAAGTTAACTTTTTTAAAGAATATAAATACTATAGTTAATCTGTAGATAAACTATTGTATAATTAAAGAAAAAGCTAATAAAATTAAGTTTAATATTCTAAAACTGAAATGAAAATTGATAATACAAAAGTTAACAGTGCACAAAATACATTTTCACTATACATTTTTTTGCATTTTCGGTTCATAAATATCTTTAATATAATCATAGACAGAAATGTGTCATATTAAGCAATTTCCCTCTATATTTAAATATATATTAGTTCAACTATACAAAACATAATTTTTAATTTATAGGAATTTTAAATCTAGGTCAACTAAAAATTGATTGAGTGCATGTTATTTTTTATACTAGTTATTTTGAAGTACAATACCTCTTATTTTTATGTTTAAGTAAAATGATCTTTGTCAACTAGTATATTTTAAGCCCAGACATTTGTATAATGTTATCACGTAGACAAAAGCCCGTCGTATTCTAAGTCATGTAGATCACCACATGTAAAATATTCATTCAAACTATGCTATCGATTTACGCACTTAAATATACTACAATCTACAACAAACTATAAAAAAAAAAAAGAAAACTATACCTATATTGTAATGTTTTTTTAGTAATTTTATAGTGTTAAGAAAAAAGTAGTTTATATTTTCCAGAAAAATGTTTGTTTTTTACATAATGTTTTATGTTTACTTTATAGAAATTATAGAAGTTTTTACATAAGACTATTATAATTTTTTATTATTTTATATAATAATATGAATAAAATAAAAATATTTATAGTAATTATCATTTTCAAATGAAAAATGTTTTTGATAGCAATATAGTTAGTCAAATAATTTTTTCTTTAGCTTTAAATATTACACACTATAGTTCTCAGACTTTATACTTAAGAGTACTTAAAAAAATCAATACAAATATTAATACATTTTTATAACACAATTCTATGTTAATTTTGCAATTTAAAATGTATAATTTTACTCTTTATGAGTTTCAAACAGTGTAGTTACGGATGAACTATTAGGAAACTTTAGATCTCAACTTTTATTTACATTATACATAAATTTCAAACTAATTTATTCTGTTTAAATACTAACCTACGTTTGATGTTTATATTGATTCTATGTATCACACTCTTTTTTCAAAGCATATTACATATTTTACCTCAAGTATAAGTAAAAAAAAGTGTATATATTTCATTTTTTTATTAAAGGTAAAAATACTTTAGATCAAAGTAATTCAGTTAAAATTTTTTAAAGAGAGATTGTGAGATATATTTAATTATGCAGGAATTTCTTGAATAATGTTTGATATAATTACAGCTAAGTAATTATAATCAATTTTAAATGTTGAGTTGTATATTACAAGTTTAGTGTAAATTAGTGTAAAAAATAATGATTTTGTTAACAGTAAAATCACACTTATTGTCAATTTTATACCAGATTTTTAAACATCAATTTTTTAATTGAAACATTTTTTTTTTGCTAAGTTGAATGGTTTAGATCAATAACCAGTTATACGCACTTTTTAAAATTTACTTTTGTATGTTCTGTAATTATGAATAATTTTTTTAACCATTTAAATTGATTATTGGGTATATACTTCTACTGGAAAATTAATATCGTTAGAATAAAAATGCCCATTATACAGATCCTAGTGCTAAATTATTTAGTTGTTGAATCTCCTGAACAAATTCAAAAGATTGGGATAAACCGTTATTGCACGGAACCTTTCAATTCAAAACAATATAACTATTTTACTAATTGGAGCTGCATAATAAATTTTGGAATAAATTAAAATTTGTAAAGTAATTATTATAACTTATAAGACATTATTTTTTCTATGTAGGGAAATGTGATGCAGCAACTTCTATCATTTCATTTTATATTGGAACTAGTTACAACTGTTCCATTTGTTTTTACTGTAAGTCATTTACAATTTATATTAAAAATTTAATAATAATATTAATGTTTAAAATGTGATAAAATTGTATTTTAGATTTTCCAGCCTACTTTAATAAATCTTTTCATACCTGTATTTTTAAATTGTTGGTTAGCTAAAAAATCTCTAGAAAATATGTTTGTAAGTAAAACAATAATTTTCCTTATTACTTTTGGTAAATAATTAATTCAAATATTACAAAAAATTACTAAAATTTATTTTTGATAGAACGACCTTCATAGAGCTATGCAAAAATCTCAGTCTGCACTTTCCCAACAGTTGATGATTTTATCTGCAACTCTACTTTGTTTAGTATTCACAAGGTAAGTGTATTTACATTAATGTATATTTAATTTTACTTTTTTTTATATTCTCATCTTTTAAAGATTTTTCGAACAATTATTATAAAAATGGCTTAGTATATTTAATAGTTTAAAAAAAATTGTCTGTAAATCTATGAGTATATTTTTGAAAAATTATATTTATATTAATATATTTTATCATAAAAATGTCATCACTTACATAAAATTGAAACTGACCAGAGTTGATAACATTTTTAATTTTATTGTCTCCAGCTGGCATATACTTTTAATATTTATAAACATATTATTATTATAAAAACTGAATATAAAATATTCTACAATTTCATTTTACTTATTTTCTTAGCGTATGTGGTATTCAGCATTTTCAAAGAGCAGGTCATAGACATTTGAGTCTCTTTCAAGCAACCTATTATGTAGTTGTAACATTTTCTACGGTCGGTTATGGAGATTTTGTACCAGATATATGGCCTTCACAACTCTATATGGTTGTTATGATCTGCATAGCACTTATTGTTCTTCCTACACAAGTAATCGAGAAAATTAATTAATATAAAAATTGCATGTTTATTTTAAAGTACATTTTTTTTTAGTTTGAACAACTTGCATTTACGTGGATGGAAAGGCAAAAACTAGGTGGTTCTTATTCATCGCATAGAGCACACTCAGAAAAACATGTTGTTGTATGTAGTACAACACTGCAAGCCGATACTATCATGGATTTTTTAAACGAGTTTTATGCTCATCCTTTGCTTCAAGTATGATAAACAATTTTGCATATAATCACAAAACAGGAAATTTTATAATCAAATAAAATTTTGACTCAGGATTATTTTGTGGTATTACTTTCACCTATGGAATTAGATACTACTATGAGAATGATTTTGCAAGTACCTATTTGGGCGCAAAGAGTCATATACATACAGGGGTCCTGTTTAAAAGACGGTGATCTATCAAGAGCGAGAATGAGTGATGCTAAAGCTTGTTTTGTGTTAGCAGCCAGAAACTATGCAGACAAAGCCGCAGCGGTAAGATTTTTTAATTATTGAGTAAATTAAAAGTACTTGAAAATACTAATCGTTCCCCAGGACGAACACACTATATTACGTTCATGGGCCGTTAAAGATTATGCACCAACAGTACCGCAGTATGTGCAAATTTTCCGCCCGGAAAATAAGTTGCACGTTAAATTTGCAGAGTTTGTAGTATGTGAAGATGAACTCAAGTATGCACTACTAGCTAACAATTGTACTTGTCCTGGTGCATCGACTTTGGTCACGCTGTTATTGCATACTAGTAGAGGACAGTATGTATTTTACTTTATTATTTAATAAAATTGTCTATAAAACCATGTTATCACTAAAAAATTAAAACTTTGATGTTTATTTTATTTATAGAAAATTTAATTAAGTTATATGATTATACGTCTTAAGAATAAAGACCTCTTTAATAACTAATATAAAAACTTATTCCATATTTTTTTTAAATTCTTAGAGAAGGTCAAACTTCACCTGAAGAGTGGCATCGACTGTATGGAAGATGTTCGGGTAATGAAATATATCACATATTGTTAGGTGATAGTCGATTTTTTGGTGAATATGAAGGAAAGAGTTTCACCTATGCCAGTTTTCATTCTCATCGAAAGTAAATTAGAGTAGTTATTTTGTTTTAAATTTATTAAACAATAATTGTTTAATTATTATTTAACTCGGTTAGGTTTGGCGTATCTCTTGTGGGTGTTCGACCTGCCGATCTGCCAGAGTTTTATGAGGATACAATACTACTAAATCCCGGACCTAGACATATAATGAAAAAATCTGACATATGTTATTATATAAGTGTAAATAAAGAAGAAAATTCATCATTTGTTGTCTCCAACAGTGGAGTACTTCCAATAAAACAGCTTGAAAGTGTAAATAGTAATAGTGGTAAGCGTGAAATTTTTTACTATATAAATAATTTTACTTTTAGTTTTTATTATTGTAAATTTTATGTTCCGTAGATAAATTGGATGAAAGACAAAAAACCATTAAGGACACGCACATGTCGCCAAGTAAAAGTCCCGAAGAACCAGCAGCTATAGGTAATCATTTAAGCATACCCAAGCCAATAGACATGAATCCGAATTTATTGAGCCCTGAAATATTAAGTCAAAGAAGAGGTTTGTTAAAATGAACGATAATAATTTTCCGAACTAGTAGTTACTGTCTATTATTTAATAGGTAGTCGTCGTCCTAGCATTTTACCTGTGGCTGAAACAATGACTGGCTCTGCGATGAATATATCTGCATCTCAACCAGAAGATGGTGATGAGAGTGAAGACGAACTAGAAGATGAAGTGCCATGGCGATCACCAAGTGAAAAAATAGCGTAAGGATAGTTTTAAAAAGTAGTATTTACATTAATAAAAACATTGAAATTTATTGAAACTCATTTTTTTTGTGAATGGGATGTTTATAATATTTTATTATATTTATTTTTCATGAACCGAGTAATCCGCGGAATGCTTATATTGTATCTTGAAAAATATTAACTTGTTTGATTTAATCATGATACATTAAATTATCAAGTAATTTTAGTTAAAAAAATAAAAATACTTATAACATGACTGCAAAATTTTGACTTTTCATGATATGCTTAGTCTAAATCTAAAGAAATAGTTTACGCAGCTAAATTAATTAACAAGAAAATTATTGATATTCTTGTAATACAATGACTTTGTAAAACATAAATGCCTAGAAGTTTAATAAAAAGAAAAAGTCTAATAAATAAATAATAGCTATTTTCAATAAATAATGTTTATGAATAATATCACCTCTCTGAAAATGTGTGTCATTGATTTTTAACGAATCCTTTCATATAACATACGTTATATCTTTTAGGTGAAATTCTATAATACAGAATGATTATTTTAATATTAGCCCCATTCGATTTCTTTTATAATAATTATTATAAAAAAAGTTCTTTTTGGTATTTTAAAAAATTTTCTATATTTCTCGATTTATCAGTTATTAAGTATTTTTTAGTTCAACCTTTACACTGAGGGCGTCAATTATATATTTTTTAGTGACAACATAAATATTTAGTTTTAGTTATTATCGAGGTGAACATAATGCTCATGCACTCAGACCTATTGGTTCATTGTGCGCACCTCATACTGAATTGTCTTGATTCGGTTTATCCACCTAAATGTTATCACCAAAGTGTTAATACATTACCAACCAAAAATTCACCTCTAAAGATGACCAAAGAGTCCTGTCTTTCTGGCGAAATTAAGTATCTCTCTGGGTTTTAGGTTTTTAATATCTTCTTTTTCAGGAAAAGGTTTATTCAAGTAGTTTGATCTAAGTGTGGACAAGGCTACACATTCGCACATGATGTGAAATGAGTCTTCCTCTTCTACTCCACACTTCCTGCACAATGGTGATTCCGATACCCCCATTGTGTTAAGATGTTTAAGCAGGTGACCATGTCCTGTCAGTAGACCAGTTAGGGTGCTTATTTGATGTCTAGTCATGCTATTAAGATTACCCAACAGTAAACCAGGGGTCTTGATAAACATTTTAGATTGTCTAGGTACTACCAAGTACTTCCAGATTTTCCTGTGTTGTTCTCTGCACCAATTCTTGGGTAGCGCTTTGAGCAATTGCTCAGTGAGTCCTACCACTGGTTCTGGTCCAACATAGGTGTACATAAACATTTAACTAGCTTTTAAAATAAAAAAAATTATCTAATCAAGAAAACTTTATAATAGGTACTCATTTAATAACAAGTATTTTATTACATAGAGTTCGAATATAGAGTTAAACAAAATAAAGTTGACGTCCTTATAAAGTATAGGAAATACATTTCAAAAATACTTAATAATTGATAAATCGAGTTGTATAATGTATAAAATTAAAAAATATGTAAACATTTTTTATTAATATAATTATTACTATAAAAAAAAGTCCAGTAACTAATATTAAAAGAATCATTCTGTATATTTTTGACTCTAATATATCTTTAAAATATATTTATAAGTTATATTCATTATTTATTTCTATTGCACATTTAATAAAATGGTAACATTTCATATTTTTAGACATTTTTTATATTATACCAAGATATAACATAAATACTATTTTCGATTTGATTAAATATTATAGTTATTTAACATCCTTATTTTTTATTTAAAATTGATTAAACAATTTTAAATAAAAAAGAGAGCAAATCTGCATGTTAGTTTTTTTGTTTTGCTATTCTTCTATGCATGTTGATTATGTACTTAGATTTCGCTTTACAGCGGATGACGATGAAGATATTTATGTACAGTCTGCTTGGCATGCTGATTGGAACAGGCAAGTGTTATTACAATATGTGTGTTGTAACGAGCATTACTCTGATATTTTATTTGTTATCACAAAAAATTATTGTACTTTATAAATATTATTTCTTACTGATTTTATTTTTTAATTTCCAGAATAGTCAAAGGATTTCCTCCAGTGTCTCCATACATTGGTGTTAGTCCTACACTTTGTTATCTCTTAAAAGAAAAAAAACCATTATGCTGCCTACAACTGGCTCAAGTACGTTTAAAATTTCTATTAATTATTTGAATGTATTATTTTATTATTGTCTACTTATATTTAGTTACATAGTAAATAATTACGCTGTAAGAAATGTTTTCATTATAGGTATGTGAACACTGTTCTTATAGAAATGCAACAGATTATAATTGGCAGAATAAAACTATAATACTTGCAGCAGATTATGCTTCTAATGGTATTTATAATTTTATTATACCATTGAGGGCTCACTTCCACACAAAAACTTCTTTGAACCCAATAATTATATTATTGGAACGCCGACCTGATATTGCATTTCTTGATGCAATATCATATTTTCCTCTTGTTTATTGGATGTTGGGCTCTATTGATTGGTAAATATAATATAAACGAGCATATAATTAACGATTTTAGGAATAATTTTAGTTAAGATAAATAATAATTCTAAAAAATCTTACATTAATATAATCCAATGGAAAATTGATTTATCTTTATCTAATGGTAAATAAAATTGAAGTACTTTAGTATTTAATTTAGACAAAATTAGGGAAGCTAATGATTAACGACTAGAATGTTTCTTATAGAACCAATAAATTTGATTTCTTACTCTATTTTTTATTATACACTCTTCTAAATTTTATTATAATACAAATTATTTGGAATTTATTTCAAATAAACTTTTTTAACAATTATTAAATAGAATATAAAAAAACCCAGCACAGGGGGGTCGCGGCACAGTGGTGACGTGGCATAGTTGGATCAAGTATAATGATATCTGACAGTGATTAAAATCACTATCAAAAATAAACGCTTCGATGCAAATCTTTAGATAGTGTTTAATTTTAAAAAAATTGGTGTTTTATTCCAAAAGCTACTTGATCTGCTGGTTCCTTATTAATATCTCGATTAAGATAAAGTATGTCGAATGAAAAAGGGTTTATTAAAAAATATTATTTCTCATAAAAAAATTGTGTGGATCCATAAACTTTTCAATAAGTTATAGCATTATAAAGTTAAATATAATATAAATAATAAAATCGAGAATTTTCACACGAAAATAACATTCGGTAGCCATTTTCGCCGTGAAGACAAGTCCAGAGGCCAAATTTTTTTTTTCATAATAAAGTATATTACATTAGCTTTAATTTAAGATATATATAAAAGTGTCAGACCTTCCGGAACATTTTCAAAAGTTAAGTTGAAAAAGTTAATTTTTTGTGAAAAAGTTGTTATTTTAAATCCCCCCCTGTGGGCAGAAAAAAGGTCAAATTTACCAAAAAAATATACCAAATGATAGGTAAAGACATCAAGCATCTATAAAAAAAAAATTATATTGATATGTTCATTTTTGAAAAAGTTACGGCAGTTTTTAGTAAAAAATATTGAAAAAATTTCGAAAATTAGCAATTTTTAAATTTGTAATTCTTTTGGAGGTTTCCCCCATTTACGGGGAACGAGGGATTTTTTTTCAATTTTGAAGGGTAATGTCTTTGACTAGATACGATTTGTGATCTTTTGACGTATCGTTGAAGGAAATCCGTTCGGTGAGAGCTGAGAAAAAGTGGTAACAGACACAAAAAAAAAAAACACATCATAGTAAAACCAATACCTTCTCAGCTTCGCATCGAAGCTAAAATATAGATAGAAAAATGTAATCAATTTTATGCTTTAGTGAAGTAAATAAAGTTAAAATGGTAGAAATATACAAAATGTTGTGAATGTGTTTGATATCTATTTTAATCAAATATTTAAAATGATTTTCCAAATTTATTTTAACCAAATTAAATAGTACTTTTGTTGTACGTGTCACATTATTCCCCCGTGCTTTGTATATTTACAACTTTGGTTTTTTAGCTTAGATGATTTATTACGAGCTGGGATTTTGCTAGCTGAAAATGTTGTAGTTGTAAATAAGGAATTATCAAATTCTGCTGAAGAAGAAACATTAGCTGACTGTAACACGATTGTAGCCGTACAAACTATGTTTAAGTGAGAACCTCTTTTGAAAATATTTCAATCCTCTTAAAAACTATTCATTCAATATGTCCAAATATTTTGTTACGACTATAATATTGTTTACATCAAATTATAAAAATCTTATAAGATAATATCTTATATGAAATACTGTGATAGTTAGATTTCCTTAACTTTAGACGTGTTTTTTAAAAAGACGTTTATAGTTAATATTATTATCGTGATGACTTATTGTTAATATATCTTATAATATTTTTAATTTATCAGTCCTATTTATTTACTTATTGATTATCGTAGATTTTTCCCTGATATAAGAAGTATAACTGAACTTTCACAATCATCTAACATGAGATTCATGCAATTCCGAGCACAAGACACATACGCCTTACATCTGTCAAAAATGGAAAAAGTAAGAACAATTAGTAATATTAGTTTTATAACAATTTCATTTTTAAAACCAAATATGTGATATTAATTCAATATTGAACTTTCTTGATTAAAATTTTATTTGATTTTCGTAGCATGAAAAGGAACGGGGATCACATATATCATACATGTTTCGATTACCTTTTGCTGCTGGTTCTGTATTTAGTGCCAGTATGCTAGATACACTTTTATACCAAGCATTTGTTAAGGATTATGTGATTACTTTTGTTCGATTGCTATTAGGCGTTGATCAGGCACCTGGTTCGGGATTTTTAACTTCGGTATACAGTATAAGACTCTATATAGTTTGAGCAGAACCATTCAATATTTAACCAATTGTTTTATTGTCCCTATAGATGAAAATTACCAAAGATGACATGTGGATAAGAACATACGGTCGTTTATATCAGAAATTATGTTCGACGACATGTGAGATACCTTTAGGTATATACAGAACGCAGGATCTTTCAAACATAGAATCTCCTCCCGTAAGTGTAAAAGAAGTTAGCTTAAGTAAATTATTTTTTAACTACTATATTTCCCTTGGATTTTTTCTCTTTATTTTATTTTATTTAACTCTTGTGGTTAACATTATACTTAGTTTAAGTAAACCTTATCATAGAATGCAAATCCAATATTAGACTACCAACTTTATAATCACCCACATTCTTCTATCACTTTCAGGATGCATGTGGTACAGACTGCGATAAAATCTCTGAGGTATGCTACTAATAAAATAATACTTATTATTCACTTTAAAGCTTTTTTCAATACTTGTGATTCTGAATTAAATACGTTAACCCACTTGTATATAAATAGGGTTCAGATCATGAAGCTTATATGCCTATACCAACTAACTGCCTACCTAGTTGTCACAGGAATCAAAATTCCGTTGTGAGTACAACTATAACAAAACATTATCCTATTTTGCATGCAATAACATCATATTTTTCTAAATATAATTTTAACCATATTTTCTTATTTTAAATTATCATTTAGTAATTCATTATAGATTATATAATTTAATTGCACTTGTAAAAATTATGTAGTAACTGATTGCACGAATAAATGTCATGTATTTTGAAAATAATAAAGTTACTAAATATAAATAAATAACTTCATTAAATCGATATTATCAGTTAATTAAACTATTAAAAATTATAGAAACTTTTTTTGAAAAATATTTTTTAATTAATAGATTTTGTTTCTTGAAAAATAAACATTACACACATATATTATAAGCTTTTGATTTTACAAATCTATAAAAATGCTACTCTAGAGTAAAATATTTTTTAATTCTTTCAAAATTTTATAGAATTATTATTATTTTTTAAAATATATTATTATAGGTTTAATTAAATTAGATATATGATTTTATGTATAAAACAGATATACAACACTATAAAGCAATTTAATATTTTATAGTTATTATAATTATTGCTTAAAATAGTTTGTAATATAAATTAATATTTAATACATTTCAATTAATTATAACATGCACCAGAAAATAATAAACGTTAAAATTTATATACTCAATTACTTAATTTTTTAGTTTTCAATTAACATGCACGATGACGCAAGAGATAACCATGATAATCTTATTGAACGTGCTGAAATCGTCAACTTAGTTCGTTCTCGAATGGATAGTTTAAATCTTCCATCAGTCGATCATGAAGAAGTCAGTGAAAAACGAAGTAGCCTATCATACGTAATTATTAATCCTAGTTGTGATCTTAAACTTGAAGAAGGAGATATTATGTAAATAATTTACTAAATGAATACTATTTATTTGTTTTAATGGGTTAATTTTACTTATTTTAGATATATATTAAGACCAAGCCCCTTTTCCGCACAAAAAACGTTTGAAAGGCATAACAGTCGTCGTAAGTCTAACATTAGTTTCAATTCTCAGTCGGGGCAGCTGGGATTTGGATCGAGAAGGGGTTCAACTTTGGCATTTCCTTCATTTATGTCTAGACCACCACCTTTAGTAACAACTAAAGCAAATAGTTTATCACTACCAGACAGTCCTACCGTAGGTAGTGCTCTTCGCGCTCGATCGAACTCACTCCGAGTAGTCGACGACATACTCATGAGACGATCTAACTCTCTAAGACAAGGACTTTCTATGTGTAACCGTAAGAGCAGTCTTGAAGAGTTGGGAGTGTCACACTTTGCAATAGGATCGAGTGCCCATGAACGTAGACCCAGTATGCAAGTAAGCCTAAGTGCTCGAACAATGAGACACGTGATCACTACGCGAAGGCAGCCTGAGGTAACTTGGTAGTTATTTCAGCTAGCCTCAATTTTTTTTTTTTTTTTTGTAATGTCTGACACATGCCATCATAATATGTTAGATTTTTGCACTTCATTATACCATATTTTTATTCACTAACCATAAACTCATAAAAAAATGTATGTTAACAATGATTTATTGACCGAATTCATATAACTGTTATATTTGGAGGAAATATATAAATATTATTAGAATATTATCATGAAGTATGGTGTTATTTTAGTGTCAGTTGCATGACTAAAACATAATTTAAGCGAAATTATAACATTTAACTATTTTTTTTTTATCATAGAATTATTTATTACAACTTTTTCATTTATTAATATTGTTTATTATTTTATTTTTGGCAAATTCCTTTTTTTAACTTGAAATGTGAGATGGCTTAGACTTAATTAAACGTAGTGACACGTAATTGTTCTAATAAACATATTAGCACATCGTTAGGTTATAGGTAGTGTAAATAAAACTACATTTATTTTTGAATTTGTTGTATTTATGTTATTTTGTGTATTTTATTACAGTTATATCCAAGTGAGATGTCTGGAAGTGCCATAAAAATAGCACTTAATGGTAGTATTGGTCTAGAAGTTACACCACCAGAAGAAGTATCATCACCTGGTTTATCAAGTAATACCAGTGTAGTAATAGGGGGTCCTTCAGTCCAACAGCAGCAACAATCAATTCATCACCAGCCTCCATCTCCATCCCCAGTATTATCTCCCCATTCATCACAGGAGCACTTGCAGGGTACAATTGTATGATATAACCTGATGTGGGGTAAACGAAAGAGTAATAACACACGCAACAAGTGGTTATAAACTTTAACGTGTACTCTTTAATAATCGTTTGCTACCACATCACTTTCATACTTCCAACTTGATAGTTATTTTTAAATGCATTATGTATTTTTGTTTGATCGTGAATATTTTATGCTTTTAAAATTAGACAAATACTGTTGTTTGTTCGTAATACATAAAACGGGCTGATCAAAAACTGGATAACATAATAATAATTGTGTGCCAAAAAAAGTTGATATTTTAATTTTTTTTGTTACTATTGAGAAAAAGTTTTACGAATTACATATTATTATAATCGTTATATATTTAGGAACAAAGGGTAGAGGGAAATAGCACACGATTATTTAACGTGTTTTGTCGACCAACAGGGTTCTAAAAAAAAGGACGATCGACATATTTGATTAATTAAATTCTAAGAAATCTAAATAATTTCCGTTTGTATTTTTTAGATAGTTTATTCAAATCTTTTAAATTTAAAGAAAATAAAAAGATTTTTTCAAGATATAATGCTAAAATTTGCGTAAAAATATGTTTAAGAGTCTATTGTTATTTTTAAAAGAATTTTTTGTTATAAGTATGGTTAGAATAACTATTAAACAGTTATAATATAGTGACAATTGCAATTGAGGCAGTTGGAAAAATTGAATTTTTATTTTAAAATTGAATTCAGTTATTCCAACTGTTTTCACATTTCCAACTTGCCACTATATTAACCGTTAATAATTTCATGTAGAAATTTATATCATTCTGTTAAACTAATACTAAAATATTAACCTGAATCTTGATATAATTATATTTAATTTCTTATTTACGCGCTTTATAAATATAGAATGTATTATAAGTAATATAAAACTGATGTTACATATCAGTAAATAGTATACATCAAATATTTGTGTTTAATATTTTATAATTTTCTTCATCATGGATATAAATTAATGTATTATAATTTATCTCAAATTCTCAATACTTTTTTTGGTAATTCAGTTAATAAAATATTTATAAAATAAAATAATGTAGTTGTAGACTTTTAAGGCACACGTTCTTATGCCACATAAATGAACATAAGGGTATGGGACCATTTTGTTAAACGTTAGGTGGTATATATATATTTCCATAAAAAAATCAATTAGTTTTTACAATAATATAATAAATCATTTTATTCGGAAATAACTATGTGTTTTTTTGAGAGATAAAGATTTCATCGATTCAAAACATCTTGAAAAGTTAGTAAATTAATATAAAAGTGAATTATCAAACAATTCGTTTTTCTAGAAATGGTAAATCTTATTTTTTTTTTACGACCGTTAAGTTTATTAATACCGATGGGATTTGTATATCCTGGGACATTTATAAGTGCAGTGCTTTCCCGTTGCCTTGTGCACTGGGAACATGGTGTTTTTTTGCCACCATATAAGCATACGTTTGGTCACCCATCCGTTCACCTACGGCGGTAAGCGCGGCTTAACACTAAAGTTTTGTCAATAACTAGTGTTACCACCGCGCAACACCACGCCCCGGTAATTCTTATATGGGCTTATGAATTTGATATATAGTGTATGATAAAATAGACTACTAGCTGTATTAGTTCCTATATAAAAAAATATATTATTTAAAAATAAATACATTTTTTATATATTGAATGTTAAATTTGTGTACAAATATTATGTTGATATATTTAAATTGAAACCAGACAGGTAATTTTTAACACATTATTAGATATTAGAAAAGTTACATAGTTATTTTCTTAAAAATTCTGATATTAATTTGTAAATATATTTTATAGCCGAATAGATAAGAAGTTACAGTTTTATTATAAATATAAAAAAATATATATCATTATTAATATATATAGCATTTATCAAAACATGTAACAATCTTATATTGTATTTAATTAAATTATTATATACAAATTTTTAATTTAGTTTTAGACTAAAATTGTAACATAAAATTCCTTACAACAAACTTGACTATTAAAACCATATATCTTTTGTATTATATTTAACTCAAAGAGCCTTATTAGTGTTGTAATTATACTGTAATTAAAAATGTTACCTTGATTTATTATGTATTAAATGTACCTTATTAAAATAAGAATTTTTACTTCCGATGACTTTTTTCTAAAAAAAAGTATCTAAAATCGTAATTATTGTACTTAGAATTAAAATTATATTAAAAACAATAATTTAAAACTAAAATATTTTTAACTCAGAAAGCCAAAAAAGACAACTAAAGAATGGCGAATACAAATTTCGGGAAAGATGTTATCATTATCAACGTAAAACACATACTGATACTCTTATCGAAAGAAAATTTCCTTATATACTTCTAGAGAAAATATCAACAAGTGACGTTATCACTAAGTAATATAATCACATTTTGCCAGTTTACTCAGGTTCAATAATGAATTTTTTAGTGGAGTGAGATCCCAATTAATTAAATTATTCGTATTTTTAAACATTTCTATTGCTTTCCTTTTATTATGTTCTCTGTAATTATTTATGTTTTCAATTATTTTACGATTTTAATCGAGTGACTATGTGTCAATAAATGTTCAGCCACAAGAGATTTATCAAACTCTTGATTTTTATTGCTTTTTAAGTATTCTTTAAACCTGACCCCTATATTTTATTATGATTGTCTTACGCAACATTTATTATAACTTTCACATTGTATTTTATAAATTTCCACCTTCTATCTTATTTTTTTAGTTTACTTTGATAATTGTTACATCGTTCCCGAAATACGTATATGCATTTTTTTAGTCATTTTTTGTGACTTTTTGAGTTAAATATTTTTAATATAATTTGAAATAATATTAGCCACAAGGGATCAATTTTTATATATTTTACTTAGACATTTGTAATACATGATTAATTTAGAAGAGTTGTGTAGAGAGTCTTATACTACATTTGTACGTGAAACCTTTGTGGTGTACATAATGTACAAAGTAAGTATGTATAAAAATATAATAAATCATATCAATAACTTGATATGATTTATTTTCAATTTATAAAAAAATGTATTTTAATTAAAATAGTACACCGTATTTCCTAGGCCAGCTTTTTAATTTAGTACTCTCTGATATGTGATATGTAAATTAAACATCAACAACACGCGGACAGTCAAGCAAATTTCTAGATATATAGATAATGTAAAAAAAAAATCAAAATAATTTTAACGTCTATATTTTGGTAATAGACGAGCTCCACCTATTGCCTACTTGTGTATATAAAGTTTACATACACCAGTGCGAGATTTTCCCCCGCACTACGTATCTAATTTATGTTTTAAATAAAATTTAACCTCATAAATATTTGGGTCGTCCAGTTATAGAAAAACGTATGACCAAATAAGAAATTGTGTTTTGTCTTGACAAATTAACTTACAAATAGACACGAAAAAACTAGGATACAAAAAAAAAAAAAACTAGACATACGTCGTTTTGAAATTTGATGACTCACTTTTTCTGAAGCTGATTTCCGCCAATTATTTATGAAAAAAAATAGTTATTAGTTATTAAAAAGTTAAAAAGTTATTTTAAAATTTCAAAAATTGTTTTTTCTTATTAGAATCACATAAAAAAATGTACTTTTAACGAAGTGTAAAATTCTAAAAAATATTTAAAAAGGAAAGTAACAAAATATATTCAACGGATCAAAAGTTATAGAATTTGTCGGTTGAGACAAGTTATACCTAAATAATTTGATTTTCTATTTAAAAGTCATATCTTTTAGCTAATTTATGGCATACTAATCAATAATAAGTGATAATTTTATGCAAAAAAAAAAAAATCTAAAATCGTCCAACAATATCATATAATGTATATAATTTCAAGATATTTTACACATAAATATGTTTTCATGGTAATATCTAGGGTGCATTTACAATGTATTTATTAGTTATTATTAATCGAAATAAATCAAAATTATATAATAAAGAGTTTTCTGTGATATTGTTTTAACTATTTACTAAAATCAAATGTAGACATTTATTGTGCTTGGGTATTATCAGGTTCAAGTTGAGTTGTTTGATCATTTAAAGTTGGATTCTGAGTTATATGACCAGTAGAAGATGGTTCTTGTATCATTTGATTATTTTGATTATTTTCATCAACTATTTCTTGGATGTTCAAAGGATTTTCTAATGTTTGTTGTGAATTTTGGCCATTGTTATTTTCAACCACATTATTATTAGTGCCATCATACTTAAATTATACATTTTTTACTAATTAAATTATAATAAAATTAAAGATTTCACAACGTTTTTATATTTACTTACGTTTGAACAATCATAGTATCCATTTACAGTTATACAATTTCCATTAACACAGCACACCGTTGTTATTTTAGCTGTGCCATTTTTTATTCCTTCTTCAAATTGATTATTCATTATTTCTATGAGGTTTTGTAGTATTTGTTCGAATTGATTCATTCGAGGTAGCATTTGATCAAAGTAATCAAAATTAAAACTTGGCATACGAGGAAATCCTTAAACATGATTATAATTAAAAGAAATTTAAAATAAATATTATTATTGTAATATTATTTTTTAAGTACTTGACATCATGAAACGGTTTTGAAATTCTGAGCCAAAATCATTAAATGGGCTCGAGTATGGCACTGGTTCTCTTAAAGCCCTATTTAAAAAGAATTCTTACAACACAATTTAAATTTTTTAATAACTTATCTGTATAATTAATTATAAGGATCACTATTTATATAATCCCATTAAGTTAAGTTCTCTTGTGACCTGCAGTGAATATTATCAAATATTTTCCGTGCATAACCAAATACATATAATTTAGTATTCAACAAATTACACAATATATATGACATTTATAGTTAGTATTTTTGTGCATTTCTCTAATTAGTCGATTGCTCGCTCTTAAATTTACTAATTGTTGAAATATTGTTTATTTTAGTGGTATTCTATCTAATAAATTATTGACAGAATTTTACATTTTAATTAATCTACGATTATAATTTAAATAAATAATTATATTTCAATAACCATAGTGTTTTATGATAGCTTGCAATTTTGTGTTTATGATAATATCATTATTTAAAACCAGTTATAATTAATTATTGAGTAATTAAAATTCATAAAAAAATTGGCTACTATCTTAATATTATATAATATATGAAAAATAGAAGATCAGAGATCGTTAAGTTATTTTTTCAGCAATATCAAATTGTTTAACGCTTTATTCTATGTATACTGAGATATATTAATAAACTTTGTAAAAGTTCTAAAGTCTAAAAATTCAAAAAAATTGTTTTATTTAAAATAAAAAAAAAATGTATATAGATACGTACATATGAATAGGTGTCATTGAAGTTGCAAGAAGAAGAAAGATCCATGCAGTTTGATTAACCATCTTCATGTTTATTGATAAAATCAAGACTTATTTTATAGAATTATGTGCTAATATATCAACTCTTTATTGTAATTACAGAGTTAAAAAACACAAATGTTATTTTACACTAGTAGAGAAAAATCGGTCAATATATATACTTAAACAAAATTGGTTTATATTATTGAAATGAAAACGATAATTTTTTTGTTGAAATTAAACAAAAGAAATTATAAGCAAAAACATTTGTTTCAAACAAAATTATTATTTGCTTCAAAACAAAGAATAGATATTCTGTAATGCACTAACATATAGTTACAATTTTTAGTTTATTATTATATACAGAGTGTTCAGTTAGTAAGTAAACATGTCAATTGTTATAAACAATAAGAACAATAGAAACCCGTTTGCTTACTTACTTTACACCCTATATAAAATGGCGATAATAATGTACCATGATAATTATTCAACTTATTTTTAATTTAAAAACACTCGTATTTTTCAGAAAAATGAAACTTACAAATAGGGCAATCAATTATTGTTTATAATGCTATTAAAAAGTCAGTTTTTTTACACCATATGTATATTGACATTTATTTATGCCATATATTATGCACAATATCAAATACATACAGTAGACGTCAAAATTATAACATCCCCAAATTTTATACTTCATGCGTTTAGATTTTGGGATTGTACGCAATTGTAAACGTTTAAATCATCGAGTAAAACCATTTAACTTTTTTCTTTATATGTGTTTATAAATTTAAAAGAAAACTGCTCATTTTGCATTAGTTCCATTTGCAACTTAATTTTTATTTAAATTTTCGTTAAAAATGTTATTTTTGCAAACACAGCAAATTTTAGTCATTAAATCATTTTAAAAGCTTTCTAAAAAAATTTTTACTAACATGCAACTACATAAATATTTGTCGACATGTTATTTTGTTAATTAAGTTTGATGAAAAAATTTTCAAGTCAATCTAGTTTAACGTATTCAAACCACAGGAAAATAATGAGACTTTTTAAGAGAATGAAAAACGGTTTTAAACATGTTTGCGCGGGACTACTTTATTTGATCTGTATTGATGCTTGAGTCCCAAATTTTTTATCAAATTATAGAGGAGAAAATTATCTGTGATCTAGTATTTTTGTTTTTTTGTTAACATAATTTCTAGTACTTTATATTTACTATTAAACATTCCTATTTTTTTGGTTTTTTAAATTTTTAATAAATAGCTTCAGAGTTGTGTTATCAAAATTATAAAAACATTATATTCGTGGGCAGCAGGACGGATAAACCGTCTTTTTAGTAGTAGTAGTCTTTCTAGTAATTTAAAATTAGATATTCTTTCTCCAAAAATTAATTATTTGCTAAAAAAATAAAGGTCATCATTAAAAATGTTGAGTATTAAATTAAAGTTTACTGGTTCTGAATTTATTTATACGTAGTATATTGTATCACTTAAAACCATTTTTTGTGAGTTTTAAGACTCGTGTATCAGTTTTATCAAAATTTTGTAACACGAATAATAAGCCTTGGCGTTAATAAACAGCATTTTACAAATTTCTGATTGACTACAAATATATTTATGATACAAAGAATAAAAAAACTTTTATTTTCTATTTTCGGTCGAAAAAAATCGATTTACAACCAGTAAAAATTTAAATAATTAGTTCCCCAACAATTTTAATTACATACAATGTTTTAACCTTAACTAAGTACTAACTACATACATATTACTAGATATTATTATTATATATTTCATGTAACAATAAATTATATAAAATTAATTTTTTCATAGTTGTAAATAAATTATTAACTATAAATGTGATACTCGCAACACTTTAACGTTTAATAAGCGGTAGCATTTGAAATAATATCATCGTATTATAATCTTATGATATTTTATTATAATTACATATTCATTTTGTTTTATATTATGAGAGCTTTATTGCCTTTATCAATGAAAATAATATGTAACGCATACCATAACAGTCTATAGTAGAATGATGTGCTGCTCCAAAATAATGTTAGGCGGCCGTACAGGTGTGCGCATGCTATATGGAATGAATGACAGGGGGTGATTGAAGAGTTTGGTTGTAAAACATCTAAAAGCGCATTCTCTCGGTCATATAGTTGTTTCGTTTGCCCGTATGGCGTCCTTATAAGCAACGTAAAATTAGTTGTTTTTGGTAATTTACTGTAAAAATAATTAATTTTTTGATATGTTAGATAAAAATCAGATGAAAACAAATATTTTATGTTATTTCAACCAATTTATTTAGAAAAGTAATATAAATATTTAGAAACTTACAAAATAAAATAAAACATTATATTTTTTTTCAAATTTACAATATTGATAATATTTGGAAACAAAACGTCTTTTTTTATTATAATTAACATGAAATTATTAAAGGGATTTATTTAACAGTCTATAAGTTCAATTATTTAGTATTTAGTTGCCCCTCCTTTAACTTCATTACAAGCTTAAATTTTTCCTATCATAAACTCTACAAGTTTCCTACTGTAACGTCACCGCCGGCCGATCACCCAGAGATTAAACAATACCGATTTTTTATTTATTAATATCAAGCTATTTAATAATATAATAAATTATACATTCATTTCAACTAGGCAGGGATTAGCTACATATACAAAAAATATTTTAATCCGATCCGACCTGTTAAACTGTTCTCTTCAACTCGTNACAAAATTTAATTTTAAACCTTATATATTTTTAATGAATTTGTTCACGCCAGGCAGTAGTGCCGCCTCCGTGGTCAGCTGATACCACTGTCGGCCTTATCAGTGGAGTCGGTTCGGTGACCATCGGTCGGCGGCGGCCCGAACACGTTTTCAGTATTGTGTGTGTTGTTCGGTTTATTATCTTTTTTAACCTCGGAGTTATAATTTCTCTCGGGTTTTGTTGCAACTGGAATTATCGGTGACCGAGAATGTTGTTTTTTTGTTCGGCGGTATAACATTGCGGTTTGTTTAAAATAACGGTTTTTTGGTTCACGTAATAGAGGATTACCGCGTAATTTGGCGAGGCTGAGGCGTATCGCATTGTGGCGACCTACAGAACTTTTGAAGGCGTATCGGGTCAGGCACGAGTGGAAGAAAACAACACCAGGTCGGATCGGTTAGGAATATTTATTGTATTTATAAGTTTATTTGTATGAAANAACATGCTCCCCCTTTGAGAAGACGGGGTCTTCGCAAACTTGATGATACACAGAACCGCAGGTTGGAGTATTGATCCGATATGTGTTTAACAGGCCGAATGAACAAAATCACGGAGCTTAAAATAACTAATTAACTAACATAAATAATTTGGAACACATTACAATGGTACAAAAAAAAAAAAATAATAAAATAAAATAAAACATCTAATAGGTATTAGCCGAGGGTAACTTTGTTGATGATTTTGACTAGTACAGTTTCATTGATTACTGTGATGGCTATGTAATAAACAATAAATACGACTAAAGAACTATAAAATACACATAAGATAACATAAATACAAATAGTGTTGAGCATACAGTGACATAGAATATGGACAATATTTTAATCATTAATTAAAGCAACTAACTTCACGACTGGCCGCTTGAGAATGCCGTGGGTTGTCAGAATATCCGCCGTTCGAACTACGTTATCTGAACCCGGATAAACTTTGGTAACTCTACCGGTATTCCATCTTAATGGTGGTAGATTATCCTGTTTAATGATTACCAGATCGTTTACTTTAATATTTGGCTGCTCACGAGTCCAACCATTGCGCCGTTGTAAAGTAACCAAATATTCGGTAGACCATCTTTTCCAGAAACTCTGGCCTAATTGCTGTACCAATTTCCAGCGATTAGTCAAGTTGATTCTTGTGCCAGTAAAATCGGGGGCCGGAACATCTAAGAGTGGTCTACCTATTAAAAAATGTCCTGGAGTGAGACATTGTACATCCGCGGGATCTTGGGACATGGGTGTCAATGGTCGGGAGTTAAGTATAGACTCAATCCTTATTACTAGTGTGTTCATTTCCTCGTATGTTAAAACAGCATTTCCTACCGTACGGACTAATAAAGTTTTGGTGGATTTCACCGATGCCTCCCACAAACCACCGAAATGAGGAGCACCGGGAGTATTAAAATGCCATTGACAAGGAAATGAATTTATACAGTTACTTTGGTGTTCTTCTGACATAAATAACTTCTCTAATTCTTGATTAGCCCCGACAAAGTTAGTACCACAGTCAGAGTAAACTTCAGAAGGCAATCCGCGTCTTCCGGAAAATCTGCTCAATGCGTCTAAAAATGCCTTGGTTGACAAGTCCCGAACTATTTCCACATGGACTGCCTTTATAGTCATACACACAAAAAATGCCAAGTAAATTTTATATATTCTTGCTTTCCTCAGATTAGTTTCTTTCATAATGAGAGGACCAGCGAAATCGATTCCTACTCGCGAAAATGGGGGACTGACCGTTACCCGAAACGCGGGTAAATCCGCCATCACCGGCTGAGGATTGGCTCCTTTCCATCGTATACACGTGATACACTTCGCAACTACCGAGCGATATACAGACCTGAATGATAAAATCCAATGATAGCGAAGCAATACAGACTCAACTAGGCGCTGACCACTATGGCAACTTAATTTATGCCAATGAACACATAGAAGAAATGACAATTTGGATTTTTTAGCCATTAAAATAGGATATTTCTCACGGTGTGCTAACATGGAATTCCGTAGACGACCCCCCACCCGAATTATTCCCAACTCATCGATGAATGGGGAGAGCTTGGCAACGGCTTTCGGTGTTACAGCGACCTTTTGATTTATCATTACCTTTAATACCGGAAACCATGTTCTCTGATCATTAACCAATATCGCATATCTGGCTTCATCGAGGTCGGTGGTAGATAGTATTCTACGACACCTTTTGTTGCCGCGACAGCCATGTATAAATCTCAACGCCCATGCTGTCACACGTATTAAACGGTTGTAAGAGGAAAATCGAGCTATCCATGGATGATCAGTAGGGTCCTCTCTACCTAACAAGACTTGTACGGCCTCATGTTTCAATTCTGGCAAATGATTAATTGGCACTGGTGTAAATTTATTCATCCATTTGTCCTCGA